AAAGATTGATCTGTTTCTTTTCTTCTCTCTCTCTGTAAGGCTCTGTGTTTCAAAGAAATCTAAAAAAATTGGCATGGGGGAATGAGAGTGTGTATCTCAGCTGTTTGCTCTCATCTTCAAGTATTAGCAGAATGGGACACTTTCGTCAGAGAATGTTCTGGCCCTGCCAAGGCAACCACAGGTGGGTTTTGGAAGTCCAATCAATGTATAGAAAGCTAATTTTTAAGTTGATCGTTTTGGATGACCTGTGAATGATGGTAGACACATTCACATGGTCTTAGACAGAAAAAAAGGTTTTCTACCCCTGCTAGAAGACTCAGAAATGACCCTGAAGAGGTAGGGGTGTGGACCAGAAATCTTTAAGCAAGTAGAGCAGGAATTTCAGGTGAATGGGATATGAGTTGGTCAGGTGACTCAGGAATAGTAGCAGGTGTCTCAAGCAGGTCCCTGGGAAATGGTGCCAAGAGGAGGATTCTGAGCAGAGGGTCTGAGGGTGGTGGGTGCTCTGTGCTGGCAGACAACAGACATGTTGCATGGGTCTGGTTGGTTGGACCTATTTGTGTGTCTGAGGCTGGGCATGTGAATGGTGATGGGTACAGTTCACTGTTGCTGCGTGATTAGCTGAGACAGACTTGGGTATGACTTTGGTTCCAGTGCATAACCGCTAACACCCAGCCAGGTGTGGGGTGGGTCAGAGTGAGACCTGGAGAATGCTGTTGGCAGCTGATGTCATGGTAGCCTGCTCTTGCCTCAGGTGCCCAGGACAGTCGCCCCAGCTCCCTGGTGGGAGCTGTCTGGCCTTGGGGCTGCATCAGGCAGGCCACAGGAGCCACACAATTTGGGCTCCATGAGATGCATTATCAAAATGGTGAGGACATTTCTGGAACCAAAAGTGGTCTGCTGTGAATGGGTGGGGACAGCGGGATGGGACATTTGAGACTGGACCTTACTGGAAAAAGGCCCTGGAGTTCACAGCCCACCTGCAGGCTGCACATGCCCACGGAGCTGGCCAGGACCCTGGCAAAGGAAACTCCCCAGGAGTTTCCTTGGCATTTCCAGGAGGGTCATCCACCTGCCTTGGAACTGAAGAAGCATCCAGGCCTGTCTCAGCTGCTCCATGTAGCCTTGAGAAAGCATGGATGCTACGTTGGCCCTGGGAACCTGCATGACCACCTTCTTGGGGGAATTCTGGCTGTGCTCAGACTGCCCTGGGATTTGTGTCTGATGTCACTTGGTATCCTAATTCCCAGAGCCCTGCTGAAGCCAGACTGTGGGAGTCTCCCTGTCTGCCAAACCCCTGGGGGATGGCGCACCTCCTTACTCTGTGAGGTTTTCATGCTTACGGGAGGACAAATACCTCCCCCCCACACACATACCCTAAATTAGGCAAACTTACAAAAACTATTTTTCTAGATTATTTTTCCTTTTCCAGACAGGGGCATCGAAGCTGTTGAATCACAGGCCACCGGGGCAATCGTAATTAAAAAGCACAGAACTAGTCATTTTAAAAAGCAGTTGTTTCACTTAATTGATTTTGCTGCCAGGCCTGGAGAGAGGAAAAAAAAAAAGAGGGCAAAGAAAGCAAAGCTTCTTTAAGGAGCCTGCTTTCTCCCGGCAGCGCGGCGGGGGTGGGGAAGACCCTTGGAATGCAATTCTGCCAAGGCTGCCATTTGTGTCCACCCGCGGTTTCCTGTCGGAGGAGCTGGGGCAGCCAGGCCTGAGCGCAGGGGCTGGTGTGGGTCCCAGCTGCGTAGTGGGAGGTGTAACTGCTGTGGAGATAGGGCTGTTCTTACTATCTAGCAACAGAAAGTACTTCTATTGAAACTTTGAATCAAGGTTCCATTTACAGATCCTTTATTCATATTTAATTATAGGTTGCAAGACCAATCTTTACCTTTTTTATAAGCCAGCTAGTAGCAACCACTAGCCATCAATTAGTTTGTGTGTGTCTGTGTGTGTGTGTGCGCGTGTGTGCACACATGTGTGTTGGGTTCAAGTAAGCCCAGCAGAGCGTGGCCATGTGACTTGTTTCCAGAGAGGGAAGGCAAGGATGAACTCAATGGCATCTCTTTGTTTCCCATGCTTGGCCTGGCAGTGGGAGTTGTGGGTGAGTCTTCCCCTCTGGGCCTGGTGTTAAACTGGCAGCTGAGCTTAGTGGTGTCTAGGAGCCCCCTGGTGGGGCAGGGAGCTATGGGAGACCTCCTTCCTGTTCCCTGGGGGGTGTGGCAAGCCAGGCTTTCTCACCATGGAGATTAGAATTGCTGCTTGCCTGGCCTTCACCTTCCTTCCACCTGCTGTGTGCTGCTCTTGGCAGCTGTTTTAGCCACACAGTCCTGTAATGCCTTGTCATTCTTCAGTTGCAGTGACTCTGCAATGTCCCCGCAGTGACCGTGTTTTGAAGGCTGTTTGTCCTGCTCAGAAAGCAAGAAGGTATTGCTGGGAGCCAGGCAGAGGCTTTTGGAGGGAAGTGAGGGTAGGTAGCCCCACATTTGCAGCAGGAAGATTGGGCTGTTGCAGGTACCTGGGGTTGAGGGCCTGTAGTCACAGCTCTGCTCCAGAAACATTGTCCTTGGCCCTCTTTTTAGGACTAGTGTTGATGTCACTGTCAAGGCCAGGGATTGTGCTGAAGAGCTTCCTTCCCTTCGGTTCCTGGATCCCCATCCCAGAAAGGGGTGGGGAGGAAATGAATTCGCATTTCCTGAGCCTCTTGGCCAGCTTGTGCTTCATACCTCTGTCTCTTCCATTTATCCCAACAGGGCCTGGGGATGTGTTGTGTCAATCAGAGCCCCTTGAGCTGTATGTGATGTCAGGCTGAAACTGGGAAGGATTATAGGGCAGGTGCTCAGGTATGGCTAGGTCAAGGGTCACCAACAGGACTTAGTCCCTTGGTTTCCTGGCTCCACTTTCTTCCTTGTGATGTGACTCTTGGCAGTTACAGCTCATTTAGGTTTCTTTGCTCAAGTTCAACAAAAAGAACCTCTTCTACAGTTCAAATGAAAGCAAAATCGTTGAGTCTGATTGGGCCAATTGGGCTGCTGTGAACGACTCGATGTGGACTGAGTGGGGTTCTGATTGGCTGAGACAGTCTCCCACCCACCAGGGAGTTACAGGAGGACCCCACCTAGGTAAACCCTACAGCTGATGTGTACTTCAGTATTGTGGAAGGTTGCACATTTGGGAGCAAGAAGCTCTAGCATTTCAAGGGGAAGGAAGGATGGATTTCGTTGTCCAGTGGAGAGAACAGTGGGTTCAGTTAAGCACCTGTCTGATGTTGACTAGTTCCAGCCTCATGCTGGGTGCAGAAGCTACAGGGAACAGTACAAATCCCCTGCACTTGTAGAGTTCTTGTCCTCAGGGATTCTTAGGGTGATAATGGTGCTGGGCTTCTCCCATCCCATGGTCAGGTTTGTGATCAAATGTTCTTGTACTGAGAGATGCCAGGGAGCTGGGGGAGGAACCTTGCCCCCAGGAGCCTAGAATCACCAAAAATAGGAAAAGTCAGGTGCATTGTTTAGGTGCAGGGAAAACTAGAGTTTTGATAGGAGAGAAGAAGGACCCACCCAATGAGGAAGTAGGGAGTAGGAAGGCCCCTCCCACCCTTGTCTCCGGTGTTGGAAGTCCATTGGCTCCTCCCCAATGGCTTGGGCTGCTAGCATCTATGGAACCTTAGTAGATGGAATGGAGTTTAGTGAGTTACATGGAAGGTGGCAGGGATGCAGGGAGCGACTCATGAAGCAAAAGCAACAGGGTCACAGTGCTGCCTTGTCAACGGGGGACAGTGCGATTCCTGAGGACTGAGGAAGGAAGAGGGGCTGAGGGGCAAGACAGAGTGGCTACAGGATGGGGGTCGGAGGGAAGAAGGGGCACGGAACAAGGATTCCTCAAAGCAGGAGAACCTGCGAGGTTGGGGCAGGCAGGGAGGGGTGTGGCTGCACACAGCTATCTTGGAGTCTCAAGACCTCTGGGTTTTCTGAGCTCTAGGGACACTCATGCCCTTGTATTACTATGGAGTGATATTGGCGTAGAGCCTATGTAATCTTCCCACAGATTTTAAAACATCTCTAGGTAACTTCAGTACCCAGTGTGGTGTGCATGCTGTGTGAATATTGATTATATGGTATTGTTTAGAGAATATGAACAAGGAGAAGTCTGTGCATGTTCAGTGCCCATGCAATTAAATCTGAGTATAGAATCTGAATCAGAGGGCAGACCTTATACATGTTTGGATACCTGCACATATATGTGTCTCTGTGCATATCTGTGTGTGTTGTGTGTGTGAGAACCACTGGACTCTGGGAATTGTGTAAGCTAGACAGAAGCTTACAGAAATAGAGAGAAGGACTCCAACTTTAGCCTTGGCCAATCTTGGGAAAGACACTGGGGGCTCAACCTTCCGTCTGGTAGAATATCTGGACCACATAGCCATGATCATCTAGAATCAGAAGGACAATCTTTTCCAGGGACATGGGATGGCATTTCCAAGAGGGAAGGAGGGAGGAAGGAGAAGATTCAAGGGAAAGAAATATATTTTCCACTTCACAGGGAAAGTGAGGCCCCACAGGGCAGGGGAGGCTGGCACTTTGGGAAGCCTTGCCGCTGAGCTGTGGCTGGAAGCCCAGCTGGGGAAGGGCTTGGGATCATCACTGGCACTGCTGTCTGGGTCGGACTTAGTTGCTATACTCAGAGCCAGGCCTGGGTGCTTGAAGCTCCTTGGTGATGGTGGAATCAGACCAGCTTGCATTGGATTCCAATCCTGGGCACATGTTCTAATGACTTTTTGTCATCTCTCCAGGAGGTACAACAGGGAGTAAATGGGCATATGATGCACTCTTGAATGTTCTGGACATTGTGGCACAGCTTTGGCCTGTGAGGGAGGTGGCCAGGGCCTCAGAGCCTGAAGCTGGATACTGGGCAGCCCTGCCTCCAGCCCATCTTCCCAGCCCCTCTCACCTCATTGGGCCATCTTCTGAAGTGTCCTGTCCTCTTTCCTCCCCCGACAGATCCATGACTTGTTTGTGAGCTTCGATGACACCCCTCTGGGGGCAGCTTCCCTGGCCCAGGTCCACAAGGCGGTGCTGCATGATGGGCGGACGGTGGCCGTGAAGGTTCAGCACCCAAAGGTGCAGGCCCAGAGCTCCAAGGACCTTCTCCTGATGGAGGTGAGTGTGTCCCTTCCTGCTTCTTTCATCCTCAGCCTGTGTTGCCCTGGGATGGGGGCCTTCTCTGTAGAACTGGCTCAAAGTGGCAGATGCAGTGAGGTCAGAGATGAGAGCTATGACTGCAACAAGGGGGTGCCAGGGCAGCTCTGAAGCCCCAGGGTCCTGGCGGTGGGGAGACTGGCTAGATCCCCATTTGTCCCTGGGGACTCTCTGGCGGTCTTATAACAGGCCAAGCAGCTGTTGGGGCCAAGGGGATTCCAGGGATCATGGGTAGAATTGAGGAAAACCATAGGGGCTTTCTTGGGGTAGAAAAAGTTATGCTGTAGTTACTTGAATACATACAAATGGGAGTGTGTAGTTACCCACATGTGGACACATGGAAGCAGCTGTGGGTTTTCTTGCCTGAATGTGGTTCTGGGAAAACTGTGGCCCCAGGTGGGGGTGTGAGCCCCCACTGCTTGGGTCAAGAGTAGCACCCTCCATAGGGAGGCAGGTAGCCCAGCATGTCTTTTCCTGCCTTTTCTGTTTGCTGTCCCCTTTCCCCTTCCTTCCTCTGATTTCTTATTGTGTTCTGCTGATTTACTTCCCAAATGGCTGCAATGCTAGGGCTGGGTCAAGCCGAAGCCAGGAACTAGGGACACTTCCATGTGGCAGGGACCCAACTCCTTGGCTGTCGGCTGCTGCCTCCCAGGATGTGCCTCAGCAGGAAGCTGGAGCTGGGAGCAGAGTCAGGGCCTGAGTGCAAGCGTGACGTGGGGTGTGGGCATCCTGGGAGGGGAGATTTGAGTGAACCCCTGAGGAGCCTGTGCACCATAGGTGCATGGTGCAGGAGAAGGGCAGCCTGGTGTAGGGAGGGATGGCCACAAGCTCAAGCTCAGAATGTGCTGGGGGAACTCTTCCAGGGGATGCAAGCTGGAAGCAGCTGGAGTGAGGCCAGCAGGTGGGCTGGCCAGTTTACCCAGACTCCAGGCTCGGGGTACCAGAGCATGCCTTGTCAGCACTCAGGACACAACAGGCTATGTCGACAGAAGTCATAGGAAATGGAGTTAAAAGATAAGTTTATTTTGTTGTTTTTTTTTTTTTTAAAGTTGAAATGCATACACACAAGGGGTCTTCAAAAAATTCCTGGAAAGTACAAACAATTTTGCAAACAATTGATGGTCTTTACCACAAACTTTTTGTTTGTGGGGCTGAGCAGATCTGATTTCCTCCTGCAGTCAGTGGGGAACTGTGGAAGAATTTTAATCAGGGGCTCTTGTGATCAGATGTGCATAGCAAATAGAAGTCTGCTGGCAGTCTGGAGGCTGCATCAGAAGGCAGAGGGACTATCTCCAGGAGACCAGCTGGAGGGCTGCTGTGCTGATTTGGGAAAGACATGGTGGCGTGGAATAAGGGAATGTCATGAGGGTGGAGGAGAGGGGTGAATTCAAGGTGGGGGACTTACCAGGATCTGGTACCCAGCTTCATCTGGGTTGGTAGGAATGAGGAGGAAGAGGCGGAAATATCCCTGAGGATTTGGGTTTCCAGGGATTCCCTGTGAGTGCCTTTGCATAGGTGCATCAGTCACTGCCCAGGTAGGGCAAAGGAATTTGCTTGACATAGTCCAAACAGAGAATGGGCCTACCAGCAAATGGGATTGCTGAGATAGCAGTGAGTGGCAGGAAGCTACTCCCCAACCCTCTCGCCTCCTTGAGGTTGGAGGGACATAGAGGAGGTGGCTCTCAGGAGCTGGGAGTCCCTTGGCAGAAGCTTGCCCCGTGGGACCTGTATTCTGGAAATGTATGGCTTGGGAGTTAGAACCACACAGATGTTGATTGAGGCAGTTTTTTTTTTTTCACCTTCTCTTAGTTGCTGAAATTCCTGTCATGTTGCTCATTGCTCATTGGCCAAATCTAGGAGGAAGCAAATGGGCAGTGGACCCTGGGGAATGGAGTATCTTCTGAGGGTAAAGATGTGGTCTTGGAGCAGAGTGGTGAGGGAGCAAGCAGCTGTGCGGGGCAACATATGTGCTGTCAATTATTTCAAATAGAAATGTCTGTGTCCATCTGGAGTTTGGGTTGTAATATAGATTCTGGATTTATGAGGAAGGAGACTCATGGTGGTGGAATTGGGTGAATGATCAAGATCTTTGGATTGTCTATAGAAATCTAGGAGGGAAGGACAGACTGAGATGAACATCACCATCAGAGGAATGAAACCCAGTGGGTGAAGAAGCCATGGCCAGAGAGGTGGGAGGAGAACCAGGTGGAAGCCAGCACAGTGTCACTTAACTGGTGATGGGTGATGAGCCATCCCAGAACTCAGTGTCTTCCTGCAACAGTCATGTGCTTCGCCCGTGAATCTGCGTGTTGGCCCTGTTGGTTGTGTTTCATGTGGCCCCCAGCTTCTGTGGCATGGGTGGAGGTTGGAAGGTCCATGCTCAAGGTTGGCTCACTTGTAAGGCTTAAAACTTGAGAAATTGGTGCTGGCTATTGTCTGGCAGCTCAGGGCCTTGGTTTCCTCCACCCAGGCCTTCACACAGCTCTGTGGGCTTCCTTGTTGGGTGGTGCCTGGACCCCTAAGAGCAGGTGTTTCCAGAAAATCAAACTGGAGCCTCATCCTTGTTTAGCTCCCAGCCATAGAAGCCAGATGGTGTTTCCTTTTCCTTCCTGTTGATAGGATCACAAAAGTCTGTGTAGTTGGGGAGTGAAGAAACAGACACATTAGACACATGCACTCCTTCCTCCCCCTTAATGGTGTGGCAGGGTCTGGAAGTGTTTTAAAATGGGAGAGATTGTTGCATTCATTTTGGCCAATTATGTCAGAATTCCTCAATGTGATCAAGAGGGACATCAGATTAGTCCAGTCCTGAACAAAAGTGTGTTTGAGGTTGGGCATGATGCTGCCGTAACCATGGGAACACAGGGAGAGAGAACTGAGACCCAAGGAAGTAGAGACTTAATGGCAAATGGTTGGTTGCAGAAGGTTGGGGCAAGTTAGGGTGGTGGCTGGAGCAGGGCTTGGGGTTAAGTCCCTGGGTTGCTGGAATAGGCTTGCGGCTGATGGACTGGAACATAGCGGAGAGAGTACTTTCTAGATCAAGGTCGAGTTTAGATTGAAGTGGTGGGCACAAGGAACGTAGTGGACGCATGAACCTCTCAAGAGCCCTGGTACTGGGACCAGAAGAAGGCAGAGAGGCTGGTACAGATGAGCATGTCGGGCCCAGAGGGAGATGGAGGGAGTTGGGCAGGGCCATGCATGCCAGCCTGCTGGCCTCTGTTTTTGGTCTGGAGTAGGAGGCAGGACCATCTGCCAAGCATGAGGGGTGGGAGCTGGCTGTGAGGCTCTGGAGAAGTGGAAGTTAAGAATAGCTGCCGAGTGGCCCGGGTCTTCCGTCCGCTTGGTGTTTGTACAGCACCTGTCTGTAAGCACACAGCAGCCATGGCTGGAGGATCCCTGGGCTTCCTGGTCACTTGTGATTCAGACAGGAGTCAGCTTCTTTCCCCATAGTGCCTTCAGGGTCCCTGGACCTGGAGTGACAGCTGTCTCTTCTTTCTGCTCAGAGCTTTGCTGGCTGCTTCAGTAACGGCGGCCATGAGGTCAATAGCGATAATAACAGTAATAAAGAGCTGGCATCTTCCACTGCGAGAGAAGCGTGAGCTGCCTTTCTTGGACAGCGTGGCCTGGCAGGCCATGTGCAGAGTACAGAGCAGCTCCTCAGCAGTGGCTGGCTCAGGCCCTGCCCGGGCTCTGGCCGTACTCACAGCCTCCCTGAGAGCAGCGGGCAGTGGCCATGAAGCTGCTACCCTCACAGTGTTGGCAGCAGCCTGGGGAGCTCCACGTTCTCACTGGGCTGGGTCTTTGGTGGCAGAGTTCCATCTTGGGACCATTCCCTGCCACAAAACCAGGAAGAACCCAGCGGGAGAGCTCACTAGACCAGACCTCACTGGGGTCTTGGTTTTAGGATGACAGTGCCGCAAAGATGACATCCAAGCTTGCTTGGTGCGACATCAGTTTCCAGGGCACAGCAGGACTTACCTCCGGGAAGGTTAGAGCAAAGCCGTCTTTCTGCGTAGCCTTCTCTGTCCCTTTTAGGCCAGTTCGGGCCTTGTGTGCCCTTAAGTTTCTCTCCCGCTGTCCCACTCCCACTCTCCCCATTCCTGTGACTGATCCTAGCCTGGCCTTGAGAGGAAGCCAGTCTGATTCAAATAATTCACAACAAAGAGGGAATGACTAGCTCAACCCTAGGTATTTGTAGTTTAGAAAGTGAGCTTGTAAATCCATACCTGTGTGTGGGATCTTCAGAAAGTCTGTGGAACATGCCTGTCGCAAGAGAACTGCAAGTATTTCACCAAAAATAAACTGTCTATTCCATTTTCCATGAGCTTTTTAAAAAAAGATTTATTTTTATTGGAAATTCAGTTATACAAAGAGACAGAGAGGATGATCTTCCTCTGATGTTTCACTCCCCAAGCGGCTGTAATGACTGGAGCTCAGCCAGTCTGAACCCAGGAACATGGAACCTCTCCTCTGGGTCTCACATGCAGGTGCAGGGTCCCAAGGCTTTGGGCCATCCTCGACTGCTTTCCTAGGCCACAAGCAGGGAGCTGGATGGGAAGCAGGGTTGCCAGGATTAGAACTGGTTCCCATAGGGGATCATGGTGTGTGCAATGCGAGGACTTTAGCCATTAGGCTACTGTGCTGGGCCCTCCATGAACTTTTTGAAGCACCTTTGTATTTGCTATGAGGACAGAGGCAGATGGATGTCTTTGGGAGTGAACTTTTTGAGAGCAGCTGACTGGGGGACAATTTTGGCTGAAGAAAGCAGAACATGTAACTGAGGTGATATAGATGACGACTACCCCTGTTGTGTTCTGTGCCAAGGCATCTGGAAACAGTGCTTGCTGTTGCAGACTTCCTCGTTGCAGTGTGGAGAACTCAGTCTTTCCATCTTTCACCCTGCAAGCTTCATACCCATTTTGTCCTCCTAAGTTAGTGTTGCTCCGAGGACCCAAACATTT